TTCCACAGTACAGTGACAGACCTTTTGGCCGAAGCTGGTCCATGCCATCAAAATGTCCATCCACGCTATTTCTGATTACTGTATCTCCTTCCTGCCTCGCACTTGCCTCCCTGTGCTATGGACTGTCCCGAAGATATCGCCACTAACTTGCCCAAATTCCCAAGTCTTCATGTCTTTCTCCATGGTAAACAGAGGAGAAATATTCATTGAGGACCTCAACCATCTCCTGTGGTTCCACACATACATGTCCACTTTGGTCCTTGATGGGTCCTATTCTCTCTAAGTATATTAAAGGGCAAAGAATAACTAAAAAATCTCTTTGGATTCACCCTAATCTTCTCAGCCAAAGCTATGTCATGCTCCCTTTTCGTCCTCCTGATTTCCTCCTTCAGTAAACACCTGTATCTCCTATATACCTCAAGGGATTCCTTTGATCCCAGCTGCCATTACCTGAGTCACGCTTCCTCCTTTATTCTGGTCAAAGCCTCAATTTCTCTTGTCATCCAGGGTTCCCTACTCCTGCCAACCTTGCCCTTCGCCATTACAGGAACATATAGACCACACATTTAAAGGCCTCCTGGCTCCCAGAGGTCCCTTTGCTTGCAAACAAACTACTCCAATCAAGCACCGAAGCTCCTGTCTAATTTCATTAAAATTTGCCTTGCCTCAATTTAGAACTTGAGCCTGTGGACCAATTTTGTCCCTCTGCATAACCATTTTCAAATTAATAGAACTATGGTCATTGGTCCCAAAGTGATCCCCCACTGTCACCTCAGTCACGTGTCCTGCCCTATTTCCCAAGAGTAGGTTGAGTTTTGCTCCTTCCCGAGTAGCACCCTCTATACACTGCTTGAGGAAACTTTCCTGAACACATTTAACAAATTCCACTCCATCTAAGCCCTTAACTCAGTCCAAGTCTATGTTAGGAAAATTAAAATCCCCCACTATGACAACCCTATTGCTGCTACAAGTCTTCCCAATCTCCCTGCATATTTGTTCCTCTAATTCCCATTGACTATTTGGGAGCCTATAGTACAACCCAAATAATGTTATCATCCCCTTCTTATTTCTTAGCTCCACCAACAAAGCCTGACTGGATGATCCCTCAGTTATTTCATCTCTGACAACTGCTGTGATACTCCTCTTAATCTAAAATGCAACTCCCCCTCCCCTCTTCCCTTTACCTCTCAGCTGCCTAAAACACCTGGTACATTAAGCTGCCAGTCCTGTCCCTCCCTTAGCCATGTTTCTGTAATGGCTATAATATCCCATTCCCACGTACCTAACAATACCCTTAGTTAATTGGCCTTACCTGTCAGCCCTCTTGTATTGAAATAGATGCAATTTAATCCAGCAGGCATTCCTCGCCCCCTGTCCTGTTCTAGGTAGACCTGTCTCTTGAACTTGCTATTTCTGATTACTGTATCTCCTTCCAGCCTCTCACTTGCCTCCCTGCTGTTGAGGATCCCACCCCCTGCCAGTCTAGTTTAAATCCTCCCTTGTAGCACTAGCATTCCCTTTGAGTGCTCATTTCATTTCCATTCAGACCCATTGTTTCCACCAGTCTCCTGGCTGGAGAGTTCAAGGTATTAACAATCAGAGTTTAAAAAAAATTCTTCCCCGCAAATCCCTTGCCCAAAACCTTGTCCTATTATCCCTGTTCCCTCATGCTTATACCATCATCCAATGCAAACAGTTTTCCTGGTCAAGTTCATGCAAATTTTCATAACCTTGGACACGTTAACCAAACCTGCCCTCAAGATCCTTTGCTGCGAAGAGAATGACCATCAGCTGTGTGTGTAGATAAAAGTTCTGAGCTGTGCTAAGATCCTGGTGGATGTGTAGGATAGGATTAGATGCCAGAGAGAGATTTCAAATGCTGTTTGGAAAAGTGATTAGGGATCTTGTGCATCCAGCAGCAGTGAAAGTAAAAGCCAAAACATATCTAGGATAGATTTTGCATACAGTTGTCAAATGTATTGAAATTGCAGCTTTGTGGTACTTGTTCAGCGTTGCCCCAAGGTAATATTGTGCAACTTTCCTGTCGTTTTATTTTAATTTAATTTTGATTATTTTGCACTAAGGTTTTGGAGTAGATCTGTAGCTGGGGTTGTGGGTGTTGAGGTTGGTTGGCTCGCCGAGCTGGTTTGTTCCGCAAACGTTTCGTTACCGTGCTTGGTAACATCCTCAGTGCAGCCTCTGATGAAGCGTCGGTGTGTTTTCCCACCTGGTTTTTAAACTCTGGGGTCCATTGCGATGGATTGCCTCACTTCCGGGCTTCCTCCGTAGTGCAATGTATATGGGGTCGAGTTCAATGTGTTTATTAATAGCATGCTTCGTGGAGTGCCATGCTTCCAGGAATTTTCGTGCTTGTCTCTGCCTAGCCTGTCCCAGGATCTTGGTGTTGTCCCAGTCAAAGTCGTGGTTCTCCTTGTCCATGTGGATTGAGATGAGTGAGTATTGGTCGTGTCTTTTTGTAGCCTATTTTGCACTATTTAATGAATGGCAGGAAACTAGGAACAGAGGGATCTTGGTATGCTTGTCCACAGGTCCCTGAAGAAGGTTGGACAGGTTAACAAGGTAGTTAAGATATATGGGACAATTTATCAGTCAAGGTATAGATTGTAAGAGCAGAGAAGTCGTGTTGGAGCCACACAGAATTTTGGTCACGCCACGGCTGCAGTACTGTACAGTCCTGGTCGGCACACTGTAGGCAGGATGTGATTGCATAGGAGGAGGTGCAGAAGAGATTCACCAGAATGTTGCCTGGGATGGAGCATTTCAGTGATGTAGAGAGGCGGGATAAGCTCGGGTTGTTTTCTTTGGAGCAGGGAATGTTGAGGGGGTTGCAGGGTGCCTGATGGAGTGTATGAGATTATGAGGAGCATTGACAGGGTGACAAGAAAGCAGCTATTCCATTTAATCGATGGGTAAAGAACAGTGGGGTACACTTTGAAAGGCAAGACTTTGGAAGAGATCTGAGGAGAAACTTTTTAAACCAAAGTCTGGTGGGGTCCTGAAATGTATTTCCGACTTGAGGTAAGAAACCTCAATCTTTAAAAAGTACTTGAACGAACATTTGAAGTGTCATAACATTCAAAGCCAATTCTGAGGAAGGGTCACCAGATCCGAAACATTAACTCCCCTATATACCTCCTGATTTCTCTTCACAGATGCTGCCAGACCTGCTGAGCTTTTCCAGCAATCTCTATTTTTGTTTCAAAGCAATGGGCCTAGTGTGGGAAAGTGGAACTAGTGTAGGAGGTGATGTATTTTTGGCAGTACAGACTCAATGGTCCTCTTCAGCATTGTGATTCTATGATACCAGCTCAAAATAAAATGCATTCACTTTTGACACTTGATTCAGAGTTCAAGGTAGCAATAATCATAGCATGTTCTGGATAAGCACTGCCTGCTACGAAGCATTTTAATCCCACTGAGAATTCTTTGCATGCTTCTTATGTCTCATAAGGTTATTGGTTTAGTTCCAAGTTGTGGGAACTTGCTTCCTATGTGATTAGGCTGCCCCTGATATGTTCCACATGACGTCATCACAACCACAGAACAAACTTTGACTGTTAGCCTCTAAGGCTAGATTCCATGCTTCAGGTACAAACAGAAATTTGACTGCTCCTTCTAACAAGGCAGTGTTAGACAATCTTGTTACAGCACAGGAACAGGCCCTTCGGCCCTCCAACCTGCGCCGATCCAGACCCTCTATCTAAACCTGTCGCCTATTATCCAAGGATCTGTATCCCTCCTGCTCATTCATGTATCTGTCTAGATACATCTTAAATGACGCTATCATGCCTGCCTCTACCACCTCCACTGGCAACGCGTTCCAGGCACCCACCACCCTCTGTGTAAAGAACTTTCCACGCATATCTCCGATAAACTTTTCCCCTCTCATCTTGAAAACACCTCAGAGTTCTGATGGAGGGTCCCGAAACTTCAACTTTCCTGTTCGTCTGATGCTGCCTGACCTGCTGTGTTCCTCCAGCTCCACACTGTGTTGATTCTGACTCCAGCATCTATAGTCCTTGCTATCTCAGAAAACACTTCATACAAATTGGTTTTGAAATATACCACCTGCTTTGCATATGGCTAATTCTTGCAATTAAAAATGAGGTGAATGATGGTGACTGTTGAAGGAAAAAATGTTGCCTGAACCAATGTTTCTGATCTACATCCAGAATGGGAGATAGAATTGTGGAATCTGTTGGTACGGGAGGAAGTAAGTACCCTGCTCTTTAAGACAGCTGTCCAATTAGTCCCAATTCCACTGCAAATTCTTCTCCTTTTCAAATGGGAGCAGGAGCAGGAGTAGGCCATTAGGCTCCTTGAGTCTGCCCTGCCATTCAATAAATACATTTCCAATTCTCTTTTGGGTGTAATTGCAACAATGCAGCACTCTTTCTGAGGTGTTCATATATTACCTGCTAAAGTCCTGAATGATGGGCCTTGAATCCCGCAATCTTCTGCTTCTAGTTGAGCAGTATTAAAGATAATTTCCTACTTGGCCAAGCAGATGAAATGGTTCACTCTGTAGATACATCAATGACACTAGCATCCTTGCATTTTTATGGGATTTATGTTAAATATTTATGTAGGTCCTTTAACATCAAAAAAGATACAATTTCTCAAGGTACTTCACAGCTCAACTATCAAACCAAAATTTGACACTGAACCACATAAAGAGCTACTGGGCAAGATGTCCATATGTTTGGTTATATAGATTGGTTTAACAGGGTCCTTAAAACCTTTCTGCAGTCGTTTAGGGAGCAGATTCCAGAGTTTCTGGTCCAGACAGCTGAATGTGTAGCCTGTGTGTGTCAACACTTGGTGCCGTGTTCCTAAACTATAACAGTTCCTATGCTGCAGAAATACTTCATTGGCTGTCAAGCTCTTTGGGATATTCCAAAGCTGTGAAAAGCTCCATATGACATGCATGCTTTTTCTTTCCTTTTCCATGTTTATGCAGCATGATTGAAATTTGATTTTGTGCTTTCTATCTGAAGAGTGCCCTGAGGGCCAGTGTCCGAGTTGGTTTGCGATTTCAGTCAAGCAGCCAGCCATCTGCAGCTGTGTTGAAAGCAAGCCAAACTGCACCTGGATTCAGTTTTGGTAAGCTGGCTTCTAAATAATTTGTTGATAACCAACTGACTTGTTTGTATTTTATGTTTAGTCATTCCACTGAGTTACAGTAGGAGCAGTGTAAGGGCTCATGTCTTTCTATATTCTGTTTTTAAAATATGTGAACTGAAATGAAAGCTGCTTTAAAACCAATGTTTGAAAGGGTGGTTGCAGTTTTGAAAAACAAGCAACCTGACTGCAGGCATCAGAAACAACCGTTTGAACAAGCAGTAGTTGAAGTTTGAGTTGCAGACTATTTGGTTCTGAGGGAGTATACTAGCAAGAAATTGAATGGTCTACGGACTAGTGACCAAGATTTTCTTACCTGACAATAACTGTATGATTGGTTCTAAGGTAACTGAATAGCTTGGAGCTAGGGAAAAGTTAGAGAGACAAGTGTACAGTTCTTCCGCAGCTCGGAAGCAGACTTTTGAGCCTTTCAAAAAGTTGGTAATATGCTGAGTATTCCTGAATGCACACAACTAGTCCTGGTGGCAAAACTAATCAAGAGTCTGTCACTGAGCAAAACAGCTCCTAGATGAACGTGTGGAGCCCAGGTGGCAGCCTCCCGCTCCTACTGTTTGAATAAGGCCACATTGCAGATATAACACTGAGTTCCAGTAACTTTTTTTTTTAAACTGCAATATCATCTTCCATAGTCATTGGTTTAAAGCAGTATTTTAAAAGATATCCCATTTTTAAGTTCATAGTCCAGAAAATAAAAGTAGTCTTTTCACTTTGGAGACTTGATGGTCAACTGGAACTTTCAAGCCTGAGATTGTTAGTTTTTTATGGGGAAGAGTATCACAATATTAAAGCATTAATTGAGTATAGACAGAAAAATGTAGTACAGTTCGGTCATTAACTGATTGAATGATGAAGCAGGCCTGAGCTGACTGGGCTACTTGTGTTCCTATGTACTTTCGAAATTACTTTTCAAGTTCCAGCAATATGATCAGTAATTTTGTTTCAAATACAGGCCTGCAAGAATCCATCCATACATTGCAGCGTAACTGAAGTATATTTGAAAAACAAATTTTCCATCTCAAAGAAAAATGTATTTCTTCAGAAACCCCGGAGAGCCTGTGGCCTCTCTGCTTTCTTCAGGTGGAGAGGGAGCCAGATTTCCACTTGCCTTCATCAGTATATCAAACAAGAATGATGTCTGCTAGTTTTGTGGTTTGTGCCTCCTCGGGTGGCTCAGCCAGTCTATCCTGAGTCAACTCTTTGAGTAGAGAGGGCACCTGTGGGTCTTCAGTTCATTGAAAGAACTTCTGCTGTTATACCATCATGCAGGTTTCATAGGATAGTACACATTTTATTGAACCTCCATGTCTCTGAAAGACTTTCCAAAGGGCTTCATGGTTTATGGAATCAGAAGCTATTGATAAGTCAGTTACAGCCATGTGGAGTTCTTTGCATTGCTCCAGGCTCTCTCCTTGGATTGTCGAGTGACAAAGCAAATATGTGGCTCCCCTACGAATACCAGAAACTGTATTGAGTATCCCGAATGATGTACTCGCTCACGTGTAGGAGGCTGTTCAGGAGGATTCATGTGGGATTCTTCTTCACACTGGGCTGAAGGGATATGGCTCTATAGTTCCCAGAGATTTTTATATTGTTCATGATGGGTGACTAATCAGTGGTGGCATTGCAAAAGTTGTTAGTAACTCTCAACAGATTTTTATGAAAGAAAACATCTTCAAACTTGAGTAATAGCTCACAACCCACCAGATTTATAGATCTCTACAGAAACGTTATCCACACTTTTTTGTTGTCCTTCATCGAGAACATAGAACATAGAACATTACAGTGCAGTACAGGCCCTTCGGCCCTCGATGTTGCGCCGACCTGTGAAACCAATCTGAAGCCCATCTAACCTACACTATTCCATTATCATCCATATGTTTATCCAATGACCATTTAAATGCCCTTAAAGTTGGCGAGTCTACTACTGTTGCAGGCAGGGCATTCCACGCCCTTACTACTCTCTGAGTAAAGAACCTACCTCTGACATCTGTCCTGTATCTATCACCCCTCAATTTAAAGCTATGTCCCCTCGTGCTAGCCATCACCATCCGAGGAAAAAGGCTCTCACTGTCCACCTTATCTAATCCTCTGATCATCTTGTATGTCTCTATTAGGTCACCTCTTAACCTTCTTCTCTCTAACGAAAACGGCCTCAAGTCCCTCAGCCTTTCCTCATAAGATTCCCTCCATACCAGGCAACATCCTGGTAAATCTCCTCTGCACCCTTTCCAATGCTTCCACATCCTTCCTATAATGCGGCGACCAGAACTGTACGCAATGCTCCAAGTGCGGCTGCTCCAGAGTTTTGTACAGCTGCAACATGACCTCATGGCTCCGAAACTCAATCCCTCTACCAATAAAACCTAACACACTGTATGCCTTCTTAACAACCCTATCAACCTGGGTGGCAACTTTCAGTGATCTGTGCACATGGACACCGAGATCTCTCTGCTCATCCACACTACCGAGAATCTTACAATTAGCCCAGTACTCTGTGTTCCTGTTATTCCTTCCAAAGTGAATCACCTCACACTTTTCTGCATTAAACTCCATTTGCCACCTCTCAGCCCAGCTCTGCAGCTTATCTATGTCCCTCTGTAACCTGCAACATCCTTCTACACTATCCACAACTCCACCGACTTTAGTGTCATCCGCAAATTTACTAACCCATCCTTCTACGCCCTCATCCAGGTCATTTATAAAAATGACAAACAGCAGTGGCCCCAAAACAGATCCTTGCAGTACACCACTAGTAACTGAACTCCAGGATGAACATTTCCCATCAACCACCACCCTCTGTCTTCTTACAGTTAGCCAATTTCTGATCCAAACCGCTAAATCACCCTCAATCCCATGCCTCCGTATTTTCTGCAATAGCCTACCATGGGGAACCTTATCAAACGCGTTACTGAAATCCATATACACCACATCAACCGCTTTACCCTCATCCACCTGTTTGGTCGCCTTCTCAAAGAACTCAATAAGGTTTGTGAGGCACGACCTGCCCTTCACAAAACCGTGTTGACTATCCCTAATCAAATTATTCCTTTCTAGATGATTATAAATCCTATCTCTTATAATCCTTTCCAACACTTTACCCACAACCGAAGTAAGGCTCACTGGTCTATAATTACCAGGGTTGTCTCTACTCCCCTTCTTGAACAAGGGGACAACATTTGCTATCCTCCGGTCTTCTGGCACTATTCCTGAAGACAATGACGACATAAAGATCAAAGCCAAAGGCTCTGCAGTCTCCTCCCTAGCTTCCCAGAGAATCCTAGGATAAATCCCATCCGGCCCAGGGGACTTACGTATTTTCACACTTTCCAGAATTGCTAACACCTCCTCCTTATGAACCTCAATCCCGTCTAGTCTAACAGCCTGTATCTCAGTATTCTCCTTGAGAACATTGTCTTTTTCCTGTGTGAATACTGACGAAAAATATTCAAATAGCGCCTCTCCTATCCCTTCGGACTCCACGCAACTTCCCACTAGTGTGCTCGACTGGCCCTAATCTTACTCTCGTCATTCTTTTATTCCTGACATACCTATAGAAAGCTTTAGGGTTTTCCTTGATCCTACCTGCTAAAGACTTCTCATGTTCCCTCCTGGCTCTTCTTAGATCTCTCTTTAGGTCCTTCCTGGCTAACTTGTAACTCTCAAGCGCCCTCACTGAGCCTTCACTCCTCATCTCTACATAAGCCTCCTTCTTCCTCTTGACAAGAGATTCAACTTCTTTAGTAAACCACGGTTCCCTCGCTCGACCACTTCCTCCCTGCCTGACAGGTACATACTTATCAAGGACATGCAGTAGCAATTGTGCCCAGCCCCTGCAGTTTTCTTCTCCATCCTATGCATCCTAAATCTTGCCTAATCGCCTCATTAATTGCCTTTCCCCCAGCTATAACTCTTGCCCTGTGGTATATACCTATCCCTTTCCATCGCTAAAGTAAACGTAACCGAATTTTTGTGGTCACTATCACCAAAGTGCTCACCTACCTCCAAATCTAACACCTGGCCTGGTTCATTACCCAGTACCAAATCCAATGTGGCCTCGCCTCTTGTTGGCCTATCTACATATTGTGTCAGGAAACCCTCCTGCACACATTGGACAAAAACTGACCCATCTAAAGTACTCGAACTGTAGCGTTTCCAGTCAATATTTGGAAAGTTAAAGTCCCCCATAACAACTACCCTGTTACTTTCGCTCCTATCCAGAATCATCTTTGCAATCCTTTCCTCTACATCTCTGGAACTTTTCGGAGGCCTATAGAAAACTCCCAACGGGGTGACCTCTCCTTTCCTGTTTCTAACCTTAGCCCATACTACCTCAGTAGACGAGTCCTCGTCAAACGTCCTTTCTGCCACTGTATTACTTTCCTTGACTAACAATGCCACACCTCCCCCTCTTTTACCACCTTCCCTGATCTTACTGAAACATCTAAACCCCGGAACCTGCAACAACCATTCCTGTCCCTTCTCTATCCATGTCTCCGAAATGGCCACAACATCGCAGTCCCAGGTACCAACCCATGCTGCAAGTTCACCCACCTTATTCCGGATGCTCCTGGCGTTGAAGTAGATACGCTTCAAACCACCCTCCTGCCTGCCGGTACACTCCCGCGACCTTGAAACCTTATTCATGACTTCAGTACTCTCAACCTCCTGTACACTGGAGCTACAATTCAGGTTCCCATCCCCCTGCTGAATTAGTTTAAACCCTCCCGAAGAGCATTAGCAAATTTAGCTATTTTATAGCCTTCTGTATCTCAGCAAATATTGGGCTTTTAAGCTGTTGTGATATTGTTTGATTTTGTTTGATACTGTTGTCTCCCTGTTGTGATGGTTCTGGTAATGCTTTCTCTGACAATCTCCGATAGCTGCATGATCTTTGAGAAGAGCATTGCTTTCTTCACTTTGAAGTCAGGAGAGACTGTTTTGTTTATTGTCCATCGATTGCCTGGAAGAAGTTGTGCAGTGTTAGATTTCATTAGCCTTCCTACCCATTGCATGTATTTGATGTGGCACTTATCGTTTGCTGAGTTTTGGATTGGACTACTGTTGAGACCATCACTATTTTTCTTTTATTTTCTTATATTTCTTATTTGCAACAGAGAGTTAAGGTTAAGAGTTGAACTTTGAATAGTTGCTTGTGTTAGAAGAGAACAAAAGCAGATGTCATCTGTTGGGAACTAGCCTGGAAGATAATGTGAGTTAATTGCTATTCTAAGGACACTTAACAAATCAGAACCAAGCTGTTCCTGTGCTCCAGGCTGGCAGCTGGATGTTGATTTGGTGAGTCAAGGGATGACTGATGCTAACCAGCCAATCATAGAGAATGTTGATGGAAAGAGAGAAGAAAGTGGTTGTGACGGGGTTTGAGCAGGAGGCGGAATAATTTTGGGAAGCTTCTGGACTAGCCACTGTATTTTGCTCTCTATAGTTTTCTTTTGAATTGTCAAATTATTGAGTGATCTGTGAAAAGAATCCTAGCCTGTAAGAAATAAATAAATATTTCTAGAAATCTGCTGGAACTGTTTACATTGGTGACTTCCAAATTTGAGCAAGATCTACAATACTACGTGCCTATGAACAAATCAACGTTCAATGATTTCATTGAAGGTCTGGTCATTTGAAACTACTTAATTGAATTTGCAAAATACAATTCTTTTATTTTCTTTTAAACTTATCTCTTAACTGTGTTGATCTGTTTTTCAGTCTGTCTGAGAGAGATGAGGATTATAATCAAAGAAGATTGGATTTAGGTTCTAGATATTAGTTAGATTAGTTTTGTCTTACTGTTCTAAAGTCTCGATGATAATAAATTACTAATTTTTGTTTGAATTATAAACTTGGTATCTAAAATCCATTATTGGTAAAGTCTGGTTAGGTGCAATTGGGCAATTTTGAAGGCCATTGAATGTTTTAATTTCACTGTGTTGTGACTCCAGTGATAGTGAGGATGATTGGTTTTGACTTGTTATCACTCTGTTGTAGTGGTATCGATTATTTTTGTCGTTTTTGCTGTGCTATGGGATGATTTTGACATAAAATGTGGACTTCATGTTATATTGAAAACATTTTGAAGCTTATAAGATGTAAATCCAGTGATCTGGCTACATGTCTCTTGGATTGCAAATTTAATCATGTCACAAAGCCCTTCCAGTTCGGCATTGTTGCAATCTGTTAAAGCAAGACGGGATGAATGTTGCTTTTGCAGGTGTCAAGCAGTTTAGGCATCCTGAGGTCATGCAACCTACATAAATGTAGGTTCTTGTTTAAATGTCCAGAGTCTTTATAATCCTTTTATGGATCCTCAGTTTATTTTTGTCAATAAACATTTGATTTATTGTTGAAATAAAAATCTGCAAAATCGCCTGGTCATATTTGAGACACCATTTTGTTAAAAACAAACCAAAATATGATTAACTAAGCTAAATTTCAGTCTGGGGTTGGACTTGTCTTGTAATAACATCAACTGGGATCATAAACACAGTAAACTCTGGACTTAAACAACACCGGATTTTTATTATGTTAATGACATACTAAATACATATTGAGAATTAAAGAAACTTCAATTTTCTTAAGTACTAAAGAGGAAAGACACATCACTATCTTTCTTTCCCAAATATTACAGAACTCACAGATGAGCAGAAAGAGTTCCAGGCTACGGCACGAAAGTTTGCTCGGGAGGAAGTGGCTCCAGCAGCTGCTGACTATGACAGGAGCGGAGAGGTCAGTGAACTATATTGATGGCATTTCATCGCTTTCATCACTAGCTCTGAGAGGTACATTCATCTCCACTCCATTCCTGACACCCATTTGTTCTCCCCTCAAACCCTATTTGGGTATCTCCCCTACCCTGGGTTTATCCCTAATTGCGTTCCCATTCCCTTATACTCTTATTGTTACCGCAACGGAGAGAAAAAGAGACGACTATTTGGTGAGTTATCTGTTATTCAAAATAAATCTATAGAATTGACAGTGCAGTAATAGACGAATCAATACAGCTAGTATAAGATGGAGTTTGTGCTCCACACGGGCTTTCACCCATCCCTCTCCATCTCAACTTATTAGCCTATCCTTCCAGCTTCCTGATTTAAAATATCTGCACTATTCACCTGAGCTACTCCCTGTGGAATCCGGTTCCTCAATCTCACCACCGTCTGCTTGAAGGAGTTTCTCCTGAATTTCCAAGAGCCTAATATATCCAGTCTAGTATTTAGTCCCCTAATTCAGGCTTCCTCCACAAGTGGAAATCATTTTCTACTACCTACTCCATCAAAGCCTTCCATCATTTTAAAGCCCTCTATCAGGTAAGCCCACATTCTCCATTGTAGATAAAAGAGCCACCCTTTTAGAAAGGAAATTAATCAACCCATTGTGTTTTTACAAAGAGAAATCATTACTGATTGGTGAGAAAATTTGGCCTGACATTCAGAATAGAGGCACTCCTATTGAAAGTCTTAAAGTATCTTTTTGGAGGCTAACAGTGGATATTAATGGCTTATATAAATGGTGGAACAATTCCACTACAAGATGCTAGAAAGCATTGGTAACTGAAAGCTCACTGGGTTGATATCGGGGATGGCAGGACTGTCCTGTGAGGAACAATTGGTTCGACTGAGCCTGTTTTCACTGGAGTTCGGAAGGATGAGAGGTATCTGATTGTAACACATAAAATTATGACATGGTTGACAAAGACTAGATGCAAAGAGGTTTTTTCCCCTGGTTTGGGGAGTCTAGGAGCAGGGACAGTCTCAAGGTACAGGTGTAGACCATTTAGGATCGCAATGAGTAAACAATTCTTCATTTACCGGGTAGTGATCTGTGAAATTCTCTACCACAGAAGGACGTGGAAGCTGGGTCACTGAACATATTCAAGTAAGAGGGAGATCAGCTTTTAGATATTGAAATATCAAGGAGTATGTGGAGAAAGTGAGAATATGGCATTGTGATAGGGGATCAGGCCCTGACTGGTGCAGCCAAGTGGTCTACTCCCATATACATGGTTTTGTTTCGGTAAAGGAGAAATGGGTTGTTGCAATCTTGATGCTGGTTGTGGGGAGGTTGCAGTGAGGCATCTGTGTATCAATGATACCTTTCTTTTCTTTTCAGTATCCTGTTCCCCTTATTAAGAGAGCATGGGAATTGGGCCTGATGAACACGCACATTCCCGTGAGTTGCGGTAAGCAAAGATTAGAAAAGGAACGATAAGTGATTGAAGTGGAAACTGTTGGGAATGCACATCAGTAGCTTCATTTTGCTAAGCCATTTTTGCAAACTGGGAGATGAGTGTGACAAAGAGTGCGGAGAGGAATGAACAGCTAATAATCAAGAGACTTGTGAAATGGTCTCCATATAATGAAAGGAATGTACAGGCATGAGAGGTGATGCAAAAACAGCATGGCAAGGACAATACCAGAACTGTAAAGTAATAAGGAAATATGATCAGGCTGGGGCTCATTTCCCTAGAAAAGAGAATGCTGTGGGGTGATCTGATCAAGAGTTTTAAAATTATGAATGAATTTGATACAGTAGGTGCAGCAAATTTCCATTTGTTTGAGGGAGCAAATACAGGAGTTATAATAATGATACACTCAAAATCCAATAGGGATGTCATGTTTACCCAAAGAATGGTCTGAATGTGAAACTTGCAAGCACTGAAGTTTGAGAGAGAAATAATATAGGTACATTTAAGGGCAAACTAATCACACTTTGGAGAAAGGAATTGAAGATATGCTGATAAAACAGTGTCGGAGAAGGCTCATACGGAGCATAAAGCCAATTGGACTGGTTGATCTGAATGGATTGTTTCTGTGTGGTAAGTACCATGCATCTATTATAAAAGGTAATGTTTTGTCGGAGGGAGTGGTTTGGATCCACTATTGAGGTTAAGTTATGGGGACGTTGCACTGACTAAGTTTGTATCCTCTTGAGTATCCAAGATCAACGGGTAATGTAATTGAGGTTTTTGATGAATGAAAGGTTTGATAGAAATTAATTCCGGGGTGGATGGTGTTCAAGCCTTCAAAATTAGAACTAGGCTTTTCAGGTGTGATGTCAGGAAGCGCCACTTTACACAAAGGGAAGTGGACATCTGGAACTGTCCCCCACACAACAAAATTTAAGGATGGGTGTCGATTATACATGTTTCAAACTGAGATTAATAGATTATTGTTAGGTAAGAGTATTAAATATTACAGGGCTGGTATGTGTAGATGGAGATATGATGCAAATCAGTTCCAATCTAATTGAATGGCAGAACAGGCTTGATGGACCAAATTTTGCTTCCTTTTCCTATGTTTCAATACACCTATAAGTGAAGCTTGGTGCCAGTCAGCAGAGTCACTATTTCTACATTCTATAGATAGAGCAGTTAACGGGAATCTTAATAAAACGTCTGGAGTGCCACGTAGCTTGGATAAATTTAGAATCATGCTCAGAAATCAAATACAGAAATGTGATGAAACCAGACGTAACAAAAAGAACAAAAACAAAGTTGCTGGAAAAGCTCAGCA